CTCCGCCCCCGCCGCCCTCAGGCCTCCATCCGCGCCGGGCTCCGCCAGGTCTCAGAGCCCCGGAACGAGCGCGCAAGCGCATTCGAGAGTTCGACGAAGGCCTGCTGCCACCTGCGCTCATTTGCTGCCGGGCTTCGGCGACGGCGCGCTGACGTCACGACGACGCGCGAAGTGGGCGGGGACAAGAGCCAGGTGGGTGGGGCGAAGGAGGAGATTCCTAGTGGGTTGGGGCTAGCACCTGCGAGCGGCCGCGTGGTTCACGCTTGAGAGCCTGCGAGTGCTGGACTGTGGAACGGGTCTGAGAACTAAGGTCAAGATACTAGCAAAGGAAGGAAAAGCAGGAAAAAGTTTAGCTTTGATGAATTTATTCGGAATTTTTATTTCAGAAAGTCTAGGAAGAAAGCCTTGCATTCACCCAAATTTAAGTTTTAAATAATTTCCTGAGCGAATTTCTATTTATAATTACATAATGGGAGAGGGACTCTGTCATCTTTTCAGTGTCCTAATCCCGCCATAGACTGGTCATGGCAGCAGATGAGGAAAATGCAAAACCCTAACCTTACCTAGTACTTACTCCAGCTTTGGAAGACCACCAAAACGCATGGCAGGCGTAATGCGGCGCAGTACTAACATCAAATGGTGGCCCTTCGCAATGCCAGTCTTCACCTACGTTCACTTTTTGCCCCATTTCTCTCTGGGCTCATGGGTGAAACGGCTGCCCTACCTGCATTTGATGTTATTCTTAGGAAATAACTAATTCCTCTCAAATTTAGTCTACCACCCCGCAAATTAGTCTTCAAAATAATTGTAGACGATTGCTTTATTCAGGAAAGTTAAACTTGCCCAGGGACCGCAAGTTCTGTTAAAAAGATAAAACCACTGAAAATGTGTGGCCTCATTTTCATAACTTAAATTAATAATTGAAATAAAGGCAATGCGTTAAAAAAAAGTACCGTGGTTATTCTATGTTAATGTTACATTTTTATACAATATTTTTATAAAATTTAAAGTCTATCTTTTGAATACAATAATACACAGTTCTAAGTTCAAAAGGGAAGTGCGAAGGGTTACAAATGTGAAGTTTCTTTATCTTATCCCTAACCACTCATATCCCCTTCCTACACACAATTTAACAATTTCTTGCCTGTTCTTCATTCAGTACCTTTTTCTTAGAGTCTGGTTTTTTAAGTTATATAAATTATCATAATACTAACTGTTACCGATACTGTTTTCATTAGCACATATAAACTATATATGTCATAATTTGTGACATATATCATGCTACTAACATTTGTTCAACATTTTACATTTTTAAATTGTTTTTCCCTCTTGTATCACCTCATTTGTTCCTTACCTCAACTCTGAAGGAAGTGTTGGTATCTTCCTTTAACAAATGAAGAAACAGAATTAGAGAAATTAATTGTCTTGCCCAGGGACACATAAATAGCAGAGCTGAAGTACGTTTATTCATTCATTCTCTCCAACAAATGTGTTGATTGCCTCTTAGGTCTCTTGCACTGAACTAAAGGCAGCTAGAAGCTAGAAGCACAGACTTCTCATTCTCACTTTGCCAGTGAGTAAGTGTGATCTGTTTAAAAAGTTACCTAAAGTCTCGATTGTATATCTAAAATGGATATAACATTGTCCTTCCTACACTACCATTGGGATGAATAAATGAGATAAAGAGTGAAGCATGCCTAGTAAGTCGGCTTAATAAATGTTTTCTCCCTTCCTTTCAGATCTCTTTAGAGTGTATTTTTGACCTGGTTTAGAAACACTTTTCTTCAGACTTCCTCTTCATTCTTTGCAATGAGTTTCTCCTGTAGAAATCTTCCCAAATAATAGATCCCTTTGGGCCAAAAGTTTTGGGATGTTTTCATTCAGAGGTCAATTCATCTACAAGAATTAATAACCAAAACACACCATCAGGGTTTCTTTAGTTATTCTGAAGAACTGTTAGTTAAGCAGCTAAAGCTCATACATTCATACACTCATGCAATTCTCATGGAAATGTGAAATGGTACAGTCACTGTGGAAAAGAGTATAGCAGTTTCCTACAAAACTGAATGTGTGTATACGATACGACCCGGCAACTGCACTCTTGGGCAGTTATCCTGGAGAAAGGAAAACATGTCTTCACACGTGTGCAACTCTGGGTAGTTACTCTTATTTCTCAAACCTCGGATTTATATGGTTGTTATAAGGATTAAATAAAGAAATGCATGTAAGTTACTGTCAAAATATACTTTCCAAAAAGTTAAAAGCATGACTTTCATACAAATATAAAGTGAGAATGTGTCAAAGATTCTTTTAACATGTTAATGAGAGAACTGGCAAGATGGTAAGGCTGGTTTAAAGAAAACTGGAGAGAGCAAAGTAGTCAAGGTGGCTGAAAGAAAAGGGCTTGAATAAGATGGCTAATTTAGACACAAAACTGGTTAATGTTCAGGCCAATAAAAATACAGCCTTCAGGGTTCTCTTCTTTACACGATAGATAACTTGCATCTCTAGTGAAAAATTTAGTTTTCATCACTATCAGCAGTTGTTCTCAAGTGGGGATAATTTCTCCCTCCAGGGGACAGTTTTGATTGTCGGAACTGGGGTGCTACTGGCATCTAGTGGGTAGAGAACAGGGATAGTCCTAAACATCCTTCAGTGCATAAGACAGCCCTCCACAAAAAAGAATTATCTAGCCCCAAATGCCAATAGTTCTGAGGTTGAGAAACCCTGGCTATCAATTTCTACAAGTTAACATCTACCCTTATGAAATCTAAAATATCCTAATCAAAAGAAAATAGCAAGTCAAAGATACACACTTCTAGAAATTGGCTAATGGGCTGGGTGGGTTGGGTGGGTTAGGTAGAAAATGCTTAGATAATGCTGAAAGGACATGCAGTAACCCTTTTGCCTATTTCCAAGTTTTGGAAAACTTTCTCAACAGCGCTTGGCACCGTACCTCAAACATGGTAGTTTCTCAACAAAGGTTAGTTATTACTGTAAATTTATAGGCCACTAGAGAGAAGCCCAAATGCCCACACAGTAAAATAAACACCATACTTTTACGGATGCATCATCACTGTTGGAAATTATTTTCCTGTTAGATTATTTCATCACAGTCACTTTGACATTTTAAGAAAGTCCTCCAATATAACCTTCAGACTTACGGATGATAGATCTGTTAAGCAAAACAAGTCATGTTTAAAAATTTTCCTGAAAGCCTCATTCAGAAAACTGAGCCTCTCCTCCTACATGAAAAATGTTATTGTCAAATTGAGAATATCCAACACATCCTTAGCAAATCCATTCACAGTCTTCTGTGGAGGAGGATGGTGAGGTAAAGATCACAGGATTGCAGGCTGTAGCCCTTTTTATTGACCAAAAATTTTTTTCAACAGTTTTAAAACTGAAGTATAATTGACATACAATACTACATAAGATTCAGGTGTACAACACAAGGATTCAATAATTACACAGATTACAAAATGATCACCACAATAAGCCTAGTTACCTTCTGTCACCACAGAAAGGTATTAAATGTTATTGACTATACTGCCTATGCTGTACCTTACATCCCTGCAATATGCTCTTATTCTTGGGTATGGTGTCCCAGGTGTAAGAGATGGCAAAGGTTAAAAAAAAAAAGGAAAAGAAAAAAAGCAACCACACAATTGCCCAAATCTGTCTTCTATAAATCAGTTGTACAGTATACCCAATGGCTGTATCAGTCTGGGTCTAATCAGGAGGGAGGAACCAGGCTAATATGAACAAGAAAAGTTTGATATAAAGAATTTTATAAATTCTTTACATAAAATATTTTTTAAAAAATGTAATAAATAATTATATGCATAGAAATTTAATAAATAAATAGAATATATTAAATATCTCTAAACAAATACATAATTTACTTACATATATTTATATATTTAAAATATGTAAAGTAAAAGTGTATAATATAAATATATAACAAATACATACAAACAAATAATAATTAATTCATTAAAATTATTTATTTTCTGAATAAAATACAAACAAGGTATTGGCTGCTAAAAAGTAAAGAGAACTCGAAAGAAGACAGGTGTAAGGAACAGCCACATGCCCTAGGACTGAGAAGGAATACCAAAGAAAGAGGTTCGGTTTCCCCCAACCTCCCTCTTTATAAGTGAGAGCCAGACCTTACTGGAGAAGGCACCGCCATGGCTCACTGTCAGAGAAGTAGCTGTGGTGCAATGCCAACAAATCCGCTAGAAATCTACCCTTTGGAATTTTGGGGAACTCTACCCTCTAGGATGCCATGGAAAAGCCACTCCCCAGATGTCTCACTGGATGCACTCTCTACAGATGCCAACCCACAGGAACCTAAAAGCAAAATCCTCTCTCCTGCAACATCCCTCCAGCACCCTCTATTGACAAAACTTAACACCATTCTTCTTGGCCAAAGGAAAAACATCTAAAGGGCCCAGATTCATTTTCACAGATAAAGCAAAAAGGGAGAATTTGGAGCTAAGAGTGAATAAAATCAGTAACTGGCATAAGAGTGATCCTGTAATATTTTTAGGGGCTGGTAATACTAGTAATTTCAGGCCACTAGCATCTAAACAACAGCCAGTGTGGGCCCTCCTGGGTCTGTAAGCTGCTGCTTGTCCACTACAGAGCAGTAATTATGAATAGACCCTGGGTCAGCAATATCAATATCACCTGGGAACCTGTCAGAAATGCAGATTCTAGGGCCCTACCCTAAACCGACTGCATCAGACCTCTGGGGTTGGGGACCAGCATCTGTGTTAGAATAAGCCCTCCAAAGGATTCTGATGTATGCCAAGGTTTGAGAACCACTGTTCTAACAGTAAGTTCTAAGAACTTGCTGCGAAGGCTTGAAGGGAAGAGTCAATAAGGATTTATTTGTATGAGCTTTAGTCTCAATTTTTAAGAAAACAATCTAACTTCTCTGAGATCTGGAAATTAGCAGGGAGCATACAATAATATGCTGATCATGTGTTTCTTGACTCAAAGGTATGAATGCACTTAACATGCTCACTTTGATAAATTCTGCTTATGACGTTCTCTTATCTGCAGGTCATGCTACCTTGATTAGGGCTGCAAAGCTGCTACTGCAATTTTCGTCTGTTTCTGTTGTTTCTTTGTGTGCACAGAAGTGGACAGTAATGCCCATTCTACTTTTTCCATATCCGTCTCTTTCCTAACTCTCCACCATGCATGGAGTTATTGAAAGAACAGTTAGCGCCACAAACCTGAGATGAGCACAGCAGACAATGGCGTGGAGCTCACAGTAGCTCACCACTGCTCCTTGCCTCTCAGATAACCTCATGAGCTGGCTTGTCTCCTTGACTAGGCTCCAGTAGCCCAGGACAGAAAGCTTCACTTTCCCCTGACATAGCCCTTGCCTTTCCAGGCTCCTCAGTTTTCTCCCTTCAAAGGAAAGAGGGAGAGATGATGGACTCGAGCAAGTGATTTTACTGCCATTGTTTTGCTTTAAAATTTAAAATGTGTGTGTGCATATTTGTGTGGTATAGGAATTGTGGCCTGGCCCTGGTCCCACCAGTAACTAGCCACATGGGGTTGGGTAGGTCACCAGCTCTGGTTTTAATTTCTACACTGAAATAGAGTGTCGAACCAGCTAATACTGCTCCAACATTGTATGACTCTATGTACTACAAGCATATCCTTAAAAGGCAATTTGTTAGGTTTGTGTCTCCCCCTTTAGTGTAACAGTCTGTGCATGAGGTCCTTTTCTAAACTCCCTCTGTGTTTAACCACAAGCACAATGAAACTTTCCTAAAGCAAATTTATCCTAAAGGGATTGAGGTTACTCATGCAGAGAAAGTGAAGACTTCAGATTTGCTTCTTGTCAATAGAAAAAGAGCATGTGCTTTGCTAAACAGATATACTATCTCTAACTGCTTTGGTAAGACTAACTAAATGTGCAACCACACACACAGCTATGAAGCACTGGTATTTTATTTCAAATTCCTGATTTATTTCTCACTGGTAGTAGTGAGCAAAAATATTTACTTCTTTCCAAAACAGTTTGAATGTTTCCACTTTTAATGTCTGTTAAAGTCTTTTGTTTGTTTGTTTGTTTTTTATTTGTTCGTTTAAGATAAAGAGTATCTCTCTGCCCTATTTTCACATGCTGAAACCGGGAGAAAAGTCAAGCGTGATGTTTCTCAATCACACTCAATTCTCTCCATGTAGGGGAGAAGGGGAAAAGGGGGTATTTCAGAAATTCTTGGAAATAAACTATGAAAAATCATATCTAGATTTATTCTAAAAAAAATCCTAATTTTCTGATAACACGAATTACATCAATATAAGCTTGAAAAAAATCATAGCCAGGGAGATATGCATAAAAAGGTTGTGGCAGACACTTGGAGTTGGTTACCTATTTCCTCCTCCTTCCTTAAAAGCTTCCCCCCCCCCATGGCAACATCTCCCAGGAAATGAATGGTAACTGGTTCAAATCTATCAAAACATCCTTTTCCCAGCCTCCTCTGCAGTGAGAAGTGGCCATGAGAGTCAGTTCTGGCCCTGGAGACATCTGGGGAAGTCTGTTGGGGCCACTGATGGGTGCTTTTGGAAGGCGTGTGGCTGTCTGTGCCTCCCTACACTGATCTGTCTGCCTTGGTAGTCGACACTATGCTGGGATGCTTCTGCTGCCTCTCTGTGACCTCCTGGTGATACCTCAGGTGATAGTCAAGGATGAAAGTCCCTGGCTTTCTCATGACACTTCTGAATTGCTGAATTTCAGAAAACCAGCAGTCTTAAAGATCTAATATTTGGGACTGACTTATACTAAAAAGTTATTTATAGTTTATCTAAAGTGCTGATTTAGCTGTGTACCCTAGAATTTTGTTTTTGTTTTTTTCCCCCTAAATCCAACAACTCTATGCAAAAACCCTGGCCTACATGCCTTGGACTTTGTCATGTAAAAAACAAAACAAAACAAAACAAAACAAAACAAAACCCCAATGAGTTTAAGCTACAATTAGTCAAGTGACACATTTCTTGCATGTGAACTCATCCCTGATGTAGTAATAATTTATAAAAAGTACCCAACATTTACATTTATTGTGCTCATTATGTGCCAGACACTGTGCTAATTAATTAGTAGGGGTGTGTTTGTAACTAAGTCACAGAAGTAGGGTCTGCCTTCAAGGATCTTACAGTCTAGCTGGACAGACAGCCACTAAATGAGTGATTCTGTAAGTGGCAGTATAATTACAATTGTGATTAGTGCTTTGAAGAAAAAATAGGGGAGCTTGGTGAGTACCTATGGGGGGACAAGGAGGGAAATACTCTGAGAAGAGGCAGTTTAGGGGTGATCTGAAGGAGGAGTAGGAATTAGCAGACTGGTTGCAGGGAAGGGTTGCAGAAGTTTACCCTAAGCATCAGAAGCAGCACATGTGCCTGCCATGAGCAGGAAGTGTCCTGTAGGTCTGAGGAGAGGGTTCCAGTGGCTGAACAGCAGTGGGAAGTGAGGGTAGAGAGGCACTCAGAAGCTAAATCAGGGGATTCCTTGGGGGCCATGTTATGGATTTAGAACTTTATCCTTACTCTCCAATAAACCCACACTAAGTACTCTTGATATCCCCACCTTATAAAGAAGAAATACTTTAAAATCGTTTGATCAAGTCATATAGCTATTAAAAAGGTGAACTATTAGTTGAGTCCACATTTTTTGTTTGTTTTTGTAGTGTGTGTGACCAAAAAACCCCCTAATCATCACTGAGTGCAAGCTAGTTAGAAATATGGAAGTAATGAGAGCTGATCAGAGGAGCCTACAGAGAATGTTTAAAGTTAACGAAACATTAGTTTATATTTGTAAGGACCAGAAGGGTTGTGAACAATCTGTTTAATCATATTATTAAGTAACAAGTTGATCAGCACAGTAGATAATTAAAATTCCAGCATTGAATGAAGTCTCAAAAAATTATATGATTATACAGATCTCCTATTTGTGTTTTTCAATGAAAGGTCCCCTGTATTGCATATCACTGAAGTAACTGCAACTTATTTCTGTGATTTTAGACCATGGGTTTGACAAAAACAAAATAAAACACGCACACATAAGAAACCCTTATTTGTAACAAAGTCTCAACATAGTGACACAAGTGATTCAGCGGTTTCAGATACATACACACAAAAATTAACAGCAGTAACAAGGGCAAAACACATATAAAAAGATACTGGGTGATTGGTTTGATTTATTCACTGTAACTGCTATTCTTGGTAATGCCATTATTTGCAGGAGGTGGGCACTGGTATGGGATGGTAACCAATATTTTAAAAAAATTAGAAATAAAAAATATCAAGAGTGCATGTGAGGTAAATGTTTTATGATACTTGATATGATACATGCAACACATACAGACACATACATATACACACATATAGACACATACACACAAACACATACATCGATAGATGACATATATACTGGGTTGTGATCTACATCTTATTTCTTATTCTGGGTCCCAGTCAGAAGAGTCTGACAATCATTGGTCTAGCAAAATTAATGCCTGTTTCTGAGCTATGCCATATCTTTGCACTTTTTGGAGTGAGAATAACTCATTAAGGCAAATTCCTGTCCATTGTCATGGATAGCTATTCACTGTTCCACAGGTTAGGGAAACCATGTGTGATAGAACAAATAAACAGATCAACAAACAAAACAAGAGCTGTCACTGTACCAAAGTACATACTGTATCTTGGTTAAGGTTCTTGAATAGATTTCTTTGAATTTCCTAACTCACTCCAGGAAGGATTCAGGGCATTCCAAATTTATGCTGTTACTTGCAGACCTTGGGAATAAATATAAATTGGAAAGAAATTAATGGAGAATTCCAATTCTCATTTTATTAAATCTTCACACTGACATCTAAGGGTGTTGAGATTACAGGGATTCTGGAGCCAGAAATGCTGGTTTTCTGTAAAGAACTAAACAGAGTCCAAGTTTCTCTTATTCTTTTTATCCTTGTGTTAAATTTAAGCCTATCTTCAGATATTAGATGTCTAATATCATTTGCAACTAGTATAATAAGTTTTGACTTCAAGGGGTGGAATAATTTGAGAGCTAGAAGAATACCGCGAAAGAATATCATGGTACAGTAGAATTCTTGTTTTGGACTGTTATTCTCCATTTGAAGTATTCTTACCTTTAATCTTTTTTCTTAAACCAAGGAAGCCTAGCTGAAAACTTGATGATCTTGGCTTAAAAACTCTATGATAAAGTTACCACATTCTTATTACACAGCTCAGGCTGGAGAAGCACACATTTTTTAGTATAGTATTTAATCTTTGAAGATTGTAAATGTAAAAATGGCTGCACTCTTTGAACAAACAAGTGCTACTTCTGAAAATTTTTAATATAATTCAAGAAGAAAACTAGCATTATGTGCAGATATTTTCATAGCTTATTATCTACCAATGTGAAAAACTTTCTAACATTAAATAGCCAACAATTAGAAAATGGTTCCACCATGTTAATTTGGGCTACTATATTAGATAATTATACTATTACTTTATAATAACTCAACAGAGAAAAATATTCCCCAAAATAAAAACACGTGATTATTAAATTTTTATTTTGCAATTTTTGTTCCTTTGATTTGACATCCTTCTTCTGCAGTAAGATGTCAGTATTGAGTCTTACAATTCACTCTTAATGAGCAAAACAGAACTTAGCCTTGAATTCTTTAACTAGGAGAGCTATTTAGTTTTATTCAGTTTTATTATATAATGGACTCTAGAAAGCTTCTTAAATATTAATTACTAATTTAAAAACAGAAATAAGTGGCAGGAGCAAGGACATAGCTCAAATAGTAGAGCACATGCTTAGCATGCACGAGGTCCTGGGTTCAATCCTCAGTACCTCCATTAAAAAAAAAGAATAAATAAATAAGTAAATAGACCTAATGATCCCTCCCAAAAAAATATTAAAATAAAAAATTAAGTAAAAACAGAAATAAGCATGACAATTAACTATGAAAACCATGTAACCATATAGAAGAGAGATTGATGTGAATAGCAAAAACACTGAATATGTACTCATTAAAATGTTAACAATGATGATTCGTGGGAATACAGGTGATTATTTTCTCCCTTTTGCTTTTATATTAAAACATTTTTTATAATTAATATGCTTTTATAATGAAATGGAAATAAACATTTTTAAAGGGAGTCTGAACGTTGCTGGTGATTAGACTGTCTTGTCATAGGGAGAATAGGTAATGATTAAACTTTACCTCAAAGTCTGTATTTAAATTAAATACATAACTTTATCAGCTTACTCTCTTGGATCATTTGTTTTATTAATAACTAAATTCAATCTTTGTTGTTTTTCTTTCATTATTATTACTTTATCACAATTATAATTCTATACTGTTTAGAGCTGAAATTTAAACAGGTTCATGACGCTTTAAGAAGCCTGAGATATAGTCAACTTTTGAAACCTTTGAAAGGCTTCTTAGCTAGCTCAGTCCCATACTGAGGGTTAAACGAGGCAACACTGAGGATCCCTCCAGGCTGGCTTTGCCAGGGTACTGTGGTTAGAACTGGGAAAGGTGATGGGTTACTATAAATAACACAGTAACTTACTTATGCAACTGGAAAAAATGAACATAGATCTTGGAGGTAGGAAAGGCTGATCTTTGGATTTTATCTCCCCTCTAACATTCCTGTTATAACTTTTTTCTTTTTAAACTTTATCTTACATCTAGAACACAAGCAAGATAGCCTTACAAAGAAATACTTCCTTAAAAACCTCCAGGTTATAGGCAAGGCAAGACGAGGGTGTCACACATGCAGAAATGTACTTTCTTGCGGGCTTTCAGCACCTGTCAAGACATGCCAGCTATTCCTGAGCCTTGGACCAGATGGCAAATACTGGCGTTTGGTATGGAATTAGGTGCAATTTGCCTGAGCTACATGATCAAGGCTCCTTCATTTTTATCAGCAGGTGGATCGTAAGGTCAAATTCCAGCGTATGACTTAGCCACTAAAGGAGAACTGGATCCAAGCACTAGCCATTATCAAGAGATAGAAAGGTACAGGTGTCCAGCCACTGTAACAGCCCTGTAAGTATCTTATTAGGGTCAGCAAGGGAGCCAATAATGCTCACAGAAGTGGCTCTGGCTCATGTGTTATCATTTATGATGGCTGAGCCCCTCTCTGCACCTTACACTCTCTCCACCCACTTATGCTGGTGCCTGAGCTTCATTATGGGAGGCCTGCCTTTCATCAGAGTAACAGATGGCAGGGGTGAGCAGGCATATTTGGCAAGCACTTCAGGTTTCACTCAAAGGAAGAAATTTTTAAATGGTCCTGAAATTTCTTTAAATGGGTTCATGACTTCATAAAGGGCTGATCCTGAAATTAGGAGTGTGCAGGATTAAGGGGCTTTCCTGGCTGGGCTCAGACCTCCAGTCAGATAGGAATTTACTGAGGACATAGGAAATCTAATTCTTACTGAGAGATGATGACATTTGGACGAGGGTAGTTGCTTCTCACCAAAAGAGCATGCAATATTCTTTGTTGCCAAAGTGACTCATACTGCCTTCTCCTGAGCCAGCTGATGACTGAATTCTGCACGTGTTAGCCATGAAAACCGTTTTAGTTCAAGTAGTTCCAATGTAACAGCAGCTAGGCCTATAGCTTTGTTCTCCCAGCATGCTTTGTCATCCTTCTTCTTCTGATTTCTACTTCCTGCCCTGCTTTCCCTTTGGGGAATTTCTCCCCTTAAATCAGAATGCCTTAGAAGAGGCACTCAATTACAAGATGAGTACATGATCCAGTCCTAGCCAATCAGAGTAAGCCATCTCCTTGGCCATGGTGATTGGTTTAACAAAAGCCATGCAACCCAAACAGAACCAAAGTCTTTCCTGAGACTTTTTAGCTGGGTTAAAATGGAAAACTACTTGAAAAAAAAAAAAGTTTAAAAAATTTAAAAATCTGCAAAAGTAGTGAGAATAATATATAGATCTCCTATACCCAACACTTGGCTTTAAAATTTATCAACCCATAGACAATCTTAAAAAAAGATAAACTGTCTTTTCCCCCTGGGTCTCTTGGACCTAGGAGGATGGTGTTACCAAAAGACATCATGTCTGTCAGGGGAAAAAGACTGACTTCAAAATAAACCCAAATAGAAAGTGAAACTGAGGCAGAACCAGGAGGACCCTATTTGTGCTTCTTAATCCAGATGAGCCTGAAGCCACTGCCACCCTGTAGTTCCTTTTTGCTTAAGCCAGATTTAGGAGGGTTTCTATCACTTGCAAAATGTACTGTCTGATCTGAAGAACTTAAACACTTAATAAATAATTTTTTAAATTTTGTGTTTATTTTGAGGCATATGAGAAATAGAAATTTATGAAAAATCTTTAAGAAAAATAAAGGAGAAAAGAGAGCTCTACACATATGACAACAAGATCACTAGTATTTTAACTTCATTCAACTCCAATGATAGTATCAGTCCCACTGAAATAACAGCCACCTACTAAAAAAATTTAAACTGAGTAAAATAAATATCATTAAGAGATGTAAAAAAGGGTAAATATTTTCACCGTTAAAAAAACTCACAAACTAATCTAGTCCCCAGACCCACACAGAGTCTCTGATTCTGAGTTATCTTCAAAGCAATGAATGATGGATACAATGACCCCTACATTAGCATTCTGGTATGCAGTTCTTGTGTACGGAATGAACAATTTTCCTGGCTGCTCTTTCACAGTCCACTCTGCCTGGACAATACTTACGCTTTTGCTTTGCTAGCTCTTGTATAAGATCTTCATACACTTGTGAAAAGAGGTCCTTCTCAGATTTTGTTCCATCCAGGTAAACTGAGAAGGGAAACAGAGAGCAGTTCAAATGCTAACAGGCTTATGTATACAGGACACTTACTCTGGCACCTGAAATCTCTTGAGAACACCAATAGGTTTAACCAAAGAACCCAGGGACTTAACTTAAAAAGAAAGTAACAGCCATTAAAGAGAGAAATATATCATAGCCAGGTGTAATAAGTAAGAAATTCCAGTTTATCAGAGAAATTCAAACTAGCTGATATGAAAATTATTTAAAAAAAAGAAAAAGAAAAAGGAAAGAAAAGGAAAGAAAGAAAACAAGAAAAGAACCAGAGTTCAGTGGCATGGTGCATATAGCACTCTGGGAGCACCAAAGAGGTGCCTTTCCCAAACAATCATCTAAGGGAGCAGTCCTCAAACTTACTGACGCATCAGGATCACCTGTGAAGCCTCTTAAACCACGCGGGCAAGGAGGGGCGGGGAGAGGGGAGAGGAGGGTCTGAGTTCTCTCGTATGTGTACTGAATCCCAATTCGTCAGGCTCAGGAGATACTTATTTTAAGCAAAACTGGCATAGTCAGTTTGGGAGAAAAAGAAGTCATGTAGGTAAAAGGAAGGAAAGGGCCTTCCAGTCAGAAAACTGCAGAGGCACGGAGGTAGGAGAACTTGGCCCGTTAAGAAAAAAGATGCGCAGTTGGGAAAGGCTAGCGTGTGGGGAGGTAGAAACAGTGTAGAGATGAGGTTTTAGAGCAAGGCTGTGCCTTAGTCCTTAAAAGCCTTGCTGTCTGGTAGCTTGTAGTTAATTCTGAAGAGCTGGAGGCTCTCTGAAGGCATTTAAGCAAGGCAGAAGCATGGTCAGATTTGCATTTTAAAGCGAGAGGGAAGGAGGGTCAGTAAAGTTATTCCTGCAACCAATGGTCTGATCTGGAAGTAGTGAGGCCAGAACGTCCGTCCGCAGTGGCTCTGGGGAAGGGGAGGAGTGGGTGAACTGGACTGAAAAAGGGGTCATAAGAGCTGCCAGAACTTGGGGAGGCCCTGTGTGCTTTCTGCACGGTCTGGCATGGGAGCCAGAGGCTTCTCAGAATATGGGAAACTCCCTTTACTAACTGAAAAGATACATCAGTTCTGATTCCTCTGCCCCATCCAAAAGCCTTTTCTCTCCAGCCTCCTGTGTCTTCTCTGTTGCACTCTGTATCCCAAGGATCTGTTCTTAGCCCAGGCCTGCAGATTTATAAGTTTATCTCCAAATGGCATCTCAACCTCATTATGTGCCAAACAGACTCGCATTCTCCCTTGTAAATCTGACTTACTTTTTTCTGTTTTCTGAAATGACACCTGCCAATTCCTGTGCTGGTGTCCTTGACACCTCAATTGCCTAGGCCCTTTATATCTATTCTATTACCCAGGTCTTTTGAGTACATAGGTCCAATATTGCACCCTCTACATCTACCCTTCACATGGCCAGAGAGATCTTACTAAAACAAGAATTCTGTACCTACCATGTTCTTGTATAAAACCTCTCTGAGAGGGCTGCCCAATTCTCTTAGGGTAATGAACCAAGTCTTTAACTGGCCTATGGCCTTGTAGGGTGTGGACACTTCCTGTATCACCAGCATCACCTCTTGCCTTGATTTTCTCTATTCCTTCAGGTGCTCATTCCTTCCTGCCCCCTGGCCTTTTCATGTGCTATTCCCACTGTCTGGGGTGATTTTCTATTCTCTCAACCTGCCTCCCTCTGTCCAGCTAAATGCATCAAAGTGTGGTTTAAATGTGGCTTCCTCAAGGAAGTCTTCCCTGATTGCTGGGACTTGGTCATGCCCCCTGGAGTATGCTCTGTACAGCTGGAAAGGACAATCTTGAGCAGCTAGTTGTGTGTTTAGCGTCTGTTTCCCTGATAGAATGTTGGTTTATAAGAGAAGAGACTAGGCCTGCCTTATTTCCCTTGATGTTGCCAGGGCAGTGCCTTGTATACAGAAGGCATTCAATCAATATTTGCTGACTGAATGACAGACCATCGAGAAGTTGACAAACTCTGATAAGAGCCATAGAGAGAGAAGCAGAAGCCAGGAGAGCCAGAGTGGAAAAGAAGGAGTCCAGAGTGTTCTGGCTTAAAATGTCTCTTTATAATCTAATACATGAGAAAAATGTTTCTTTCTTTTGTGTACTTTGAGGCAACGAAAAGTAAAAGACCTTCCACAGAGGGAGAAAATGCACTTACTAATTTCCCACGAGATGTTCTCCATTTCTTGTCTGTGCTTTAGATACATCGGCCACACGTGGCCATCAAAGTATCCTGGGGCATCTGGAGGCTCGTAGACCCTTGTACTATCAAAATACACAGGAAACTCCATTTATTTATTTATTTGGATGGAGGTGCTGGGGATTGAACCCAGGACCTCGTGCATGCTAAGCCTGCGCTCTACCACTGAGCTATACCCTCCCCCAAAATACATAGGAAACTTTATGTTGGTTGACAAACATACAATTGATAAAGTAAAATAATGATCAGGGTAACAGGGAAATCACTCAGAAATTGAGTCTAAACAGGATTAAGACTACACATTTTAGATTCAATGCCAGTTACAAAGACAACACAATGGATTTAGTTCTCTGATCTAAAAAGGAACTCTGTAATTGACTGACTACCATTCTTAATTATCTCTGCCCCCCCACCCCCAGTGGTTCATAAAAGAATAGAGAGACAAATATCAATGTAAATAATGACAGAAATACTGTGAAGTTGGATTAAGCTTTAAATTAATTGGTGTTCTCTGTGGCTGTAGCAGAATACAGGCCCATTAATTTAAAATCATAATCCACACAGGATTGCTTCATATGAAGACTTAGGAAAGATGAGCCCAACAGTTTGTACAAGGGCCTTTTCCTAGAAAAGTAATTCGCGTTACTTCAAGTGACCGTCCATTTACGGAAAAA